TGCCTTTCCTGGAACTCACTTTGGAGACCAGGCTGGCCTTGAACTCACAGAGATCCGCCTGCCTCTGCCTCCCGAGTGCTGGGATTAAAGGCGTGAGCCACCACTGCCCAGCTCAATTAATTGTTATTTTATCAAAATATATTGAAAGGCTCTTACAAGATTCTGCTAGGCATACGAGATGAAAGGAAGATAATAATTACTTTTTAGCTTTATTTACTTTGAAAAAGAGTCTCACTATGTAGCTCAGGTTGGCCTTGAACGCTCAATTCTCCTACCTCTTCCTCCTGAGTGCTGGGGTTACTGGCATGTGACCTGACACCTGGCACAGAAGTGCTTTATAGAGAGCATGCTTTTTAATTATGATAATAGATTATGAAGTAAAGCATACTATTCTAATTCCGCCAATGAAGAACCTGAGGTGGCAAAAGATGAATTGATTTACCCAAGATCATCCAGTCTAATTAATTCTGGGATTCTTTGAACTCCAAAGTTCTTTCTCTTAACCACACACAATACTCCACTACTACCCACCATCCAAAAATAACAGGTAAGGCCTATTTAGGTCCATTCCACAACTCACGAAGAACCTCTATGTAAGGCAGAGGTACTAGCTACTGTACATGGAACGTTGCTACCCCCAAGCTCCTAAGAAACTTGAAATATACAAGAGAAATCACACAGCCAAATGGCCAGATCTCAGTTACAGCATGGTACATAATACTATGAACTTTCGAGGGGGTGAGGGTGGGGGATGGGGAATGACGGACCAATACTTTTAGCAGAAAGGATGATGTTTTCAAATCCTTCTGACTTTTTCATTAAAAGTTGGGTATAATTTTAATGAAAGTGGGGGGAGAACATTTGAGACAGGGGAGGAAAATGAGCAATCGAGACTTGATGGTGTGTGGGATGAATTTGGTGAACCAAAAATAATTTGGTGTGGGGAAGAAGCAGGAGATACTTTTGGAAGGCTAAATTGTGGCTGGAATGTGGCAGACACCGAAATCTAAACTACACTGGCAGTTCATCACAGAACTGGTGAGGACTTGGGATTGAGGTTTCTGGGAAGCAGGATGAGTGTTGATTTTGTGTGTTAATGTGGTGAGGATATGCGGCCGGATGACCCACTGTGAGAGGTCATGGTAGAAAAGAAAAAATATCATAGAAAAGGAAAAAATATAAATTTTAACTGAGTAGAGTTTTTTTAGAATATCTAATATTATTATTTATTAATTTTTGTTTGTTTTTGGAGATAGGGTTTCTCTGTGTAGACTTGGCTATCCTAGAAATCACTCTGTAGACCAGGCTAGCCTCGAACTCACAGAGATCTGCCTGGCTCTGCCACCCAAATGCTGGGATTAAAGGTGTGTGCCACCACCACCCGGCAATATTTATTATTTTTATGTGTGTGTATCTGTGTGTTCCTACATGAGTTTATGTATACTGTGTTTATGGCCCACAGAAACACAGACATAGGATCTCCTGGAACCAGAGTTACAGCTGTGACAGAGGAGGGAACCGAACCGGGTACTATGAGAGAGCAGTAAGTGCCCTTCAGCCACCTCTCCAGTTCCAGAGTGGGGTTTTAGAAGATTACCAGGTTAGAGCACTGGGGACAGGCTTTGGGTATCTAGGGAATGTCCCTAGTGATAGGAGAAATTGGGTACCAAGAGACTGAAGAGGGAGATTTATATCAATTAATAGTTTATTAACCAATTTAACACTTAAGAAACAGCTGTGAGCAATAGCTTCACGGTGGAGCACTTGCCTAGAGTGTGGAAGGTCCAAGGTTCAATCCCAGAGGCCAGGAAGAAAAAGTTAAGATCTGTTGTATGTCAACCATAAGGCAAAATCCATTGTGTGTGTAGGGGGTGGGATGGGGTAGGATAAGAATAACAACAAAAACACTGGCTCTGCTTTTTGTGAGTTCGAGGCCAGCCTGGACTACAGAGTGAGTTCCAGGAAAGGCACAAAGCTACACAGAGAAACTCTGTCTAAAAAAAAAAAAAAAAAAAAAAAAAAAAAGAAAGAAAGAAAAGAAAAGAGCACTGACTGCTCTTTTGGAGAACCCAAGTTCAATTCCCAACACCACATAGCAGCTCACAACTGTCTATAACTCCAGGGTCCAACATCCTCACACAAGCTTACATGCAGGCAAATCACCAATGCATGTAAAATAAAAATAAATAAAAGAATAAAGATTATAAATAAAGAAATTAAAAAAAAAAGTTTAGTGACCAAAGGATAATGAATTTATCCTACCTTATAATTTTTGTCAGAGACAAGTACTTGGTGTCTAACTCTGGTGATTCAGTCATATGTTTATAGATTCCAAATTAGACATCTAGACTTGTAATCTTCAGTACTCAATTGTTGAGGGCTTTGTTGGCCTAATCCAGTCTCTGAAAAATGTGTTAGAGTTCCTTAATAAGTTGGGGCTATGGCATGCATGACACACTATGATGTAGATTCACTCCTGCAAAATCATTCTCTGACTTCTACACATGTGCTGTGGCAAGTGTGTGCCCACACACATATACCCCTACAAATACAATAATAAATAAATACTCCACTATTTACCACACTATTCGATCATTCAAAGTTCATGAATGTTGTTTATATAGCGGAAACACAATTGAAAAGAATTTGATTAGGTGGAATATAAAACTGAATTTGGTCAGAATTAGTTACTGACAGCTGTGAAGGGTGTCAGTGGTGGAGTGCCTGCCTAGCATTACACAAAGTAAAAATAACTGGATGATAAATAAGGGTAAGATTAAACAGTAAAAATCAGTAAGTACCTGAAGAGATAAAGCTGGATTAATAGAAGCACCTAAACATTAAATTATCAGTGATTTTTACTGAGCATGGCCACTAACTTCTTTAGTAGTCCCAATGATTCCTGAGTCCTATGATTGACATTCTTCTGCAGCCTTTTTTCAAAATGATGAAGAGTTGATCGCATACCTAGAAGATCTTGAGGATAGCATAGGCATGTCCTTTACAGTAGAACACATGTTTAGTATGCACAAGGTCCTCAGTTCAATCCCTAACATGTTAACTAAAAAAGTGATATTGAAGAAATGATGAACTGTCACTGCCTGGGCTAAGATACAAGAGACATGCAACTTTTGCTTAGCTTTCCTGTGAATAGCTCTCTGACAAGGGGGCAGGAAGTAGCTGCCATGTCATGAGGTCACTCTGACAGCCCTATGAAGAAGTCCAAAAGATTTAGGAACTAAGACTGCCTGAAAAAAGCCCGATGGGGAAATGACTGGGAAGCAGACACTACAGCCACTGTCATTTCTAGATGGTTTCAAGGACAGTTAGTATCAATCCAACCTCACGAAAGACCCTGCTACTGAACCACTTGGATAAGCTGTTCCCCGATTCCCAACTCACAGAAACTGAGATAACAACTCAAGGAGTTTGGTGATTTGCTGTGGATTCATGGTTAACTAATATGTCTGGAAGTGGGTTGCTGCCAAGCAGCATGATAATAAAAGCAAATTAGAAATTAAACCAAAAGGCAAAGCAGGACTGGGAGAAGAGCTCAGTGGTAGAGGACTTGCCCCCCCCCTCCATGCACACAAAGCCCTGAGTTCCATCCCCAGCACCACAAGAAGAAAAGGGAAAAAGAAAAAAAAATTAGTTGTTTAGGCAACAGATTTCCAATTAGAGTTTTGAAGATGTTCTTGGTTTATTTTGCAGTTCATAGTGAAATGTGAGAAGAGGAAGACTAATGAATGGAAGAACTGTCAGACCAACAGAACCCAAGAATTGTTGACTTTCAAAATGACCAGGCTTTCCAAGATGGAAAACAATGCCAAAACAAAGAAGTGGCTTCTACACCAAGATCCAATGCAGGACTGCCAGACGATCTTGGCCCAAAAACGAAGTTGAAGATAGGATTGTGAAACCCTCTGTTAAAACATTAGGAAGGTCCAAGGTAGTGCTTCAGAGAACCAGAGTCAAATGCTGTGTGCTTCATTAGTACAGTGATTCCAGCAGGATCTCTAAGTAGAGAAGAAATGATGTTAAAAGACTGTAGTGTGTGTGTGTGTGTGTGTGTGTGTGTGTGTCTGTGTGTCTGTGTGTGTCTGTGTGTGTTTAAATGGAATCAGCCCTAGTAAAACTCACAGGATACCCATCACATTTCTATGAGTCCACAGTTGTCAGGGATGTCGAAAGGAACAGAGATGGGATGAAAAGGAAAGCTTCTGGATCGTCACTTTTCTATAGGTAGGAGCCAGACTTAGAAAAACAAGCTGCACATCGTTGAAAAGAAGTACCATCCAAAGTGGAAGCAGATGTATAAAGAGCCAAAAGTCACAGATGGATAGCCATTCCCAGGAAGCAGGGATGAGCATGCATGAAGAACTTCTGATATTTGCCCAACCAGATTCCAGAATATCTATGACCCAGTGACTCCAGCATGCCCAGCATTCACTCTGCTTTGAATGGAAGAGTAGACAGTGGTTATTGCAATTCTGTCCCATTGCTGTGTGGTATATATATATGTGGTGGTGGTGGTGGTGAAGGGCATCTTATCTACTTAAGCCACACTGAAAAAGCTTCATCTACACTTAGACCTGCTTGGCATACAAGATTCTAGACTTTGGGATGCTGTTGCTAATGGGAGGAGGCATTTGGGAGCCTTGAGAAGATGTAAGGATGTTTCATACATGGGTGGTAGTAGAAAGTAGTTAGCAGGGGATATAGGATTAAGTCTCTTGTTAATGAGCAAGATGCTCCCCAGATAATTCTCTCTCCTCATGCTCCCAATATAATCTTCTCCTACAGTAGATAAAACTGACCTGCACCACCCATGGTATAGAAAATGGAAAGGACAGTATGTGGCTTCCAATGCTAACACAGACAAGATACTGTGGTTTCTTGATGTTTCTCTGTTGGATTACCCACTGTGAGGAAAGTCAGCTGTCATATCATGTCATGAGGACCCTCAACCAATGCTCTGAAGTCTGTGTGGTAGGAAACAAAGCTAGAGTGAATCAGACAGTCACATAAGTAAGCTCTCTTAGAAGAAAACCTCCATCTGCACACCAGCCCTTCTTGGAAGATTATGCTGCAGCTGAGATTTTAACTCTAGTTTCATGCACGTGACACTGATCCAGAATCACTCAGCTAAGCTGGGTCCAAATTCCTAAGCCACAGAAACTGTGTAAGATAATAAATGTTTGTTATCATTTTTAGCTACTAAGTGTTGGGGTAATTTGTTATGCAGCAATAGGTAACTAATACAATGAACTGCACTCTCAGTATGTGGCTGGAGTATGACATAATTGTTTAAAAATGTTAAATGTGTTTTCCCTGCATCAGCTGAAGACTTTCCAAATTCCACTCTAGATCTACACAATATAAGATGTTGTGTATACTTTAATTCTTACACTCTAAAAGCTACTGTTCAAAACATTAAATGTGCCAAGGGACTATCAGAATGGTGAATACTCAAAATACACAGGCTCCCTAAGTTAGGATATTTTGACTTATGAGTTTTTTACTTTCTGATGATGCCAAAGATATGCACATTTAGTAAAAAGTATACTTTGAATTTTGATCTTTTTCTGGCCAAGTAATTATGCTATGACATCTCTCTCATAGTGCTTGGCAGCCGCAGGGAACTCCCTGTCAACCACACAGTGAGTAGGGGAAGCTGCTAATGTTTTCCTGCATGTGATGCGACTGAGTTATCATGGCTGGGAGGCTGGTGTATTAAATGCATTGCTGACTTGCATTTTAGACATGCAGTGTGTTCAGTGATGTGTAACCCTATTGTAAGTTGAGGAGCATGTATGTAACACATGGAATTCTTGAGACAACTGCACGGTGTTTGTCCTTGAGTAGATTTAAGAGTGGCATGACTATCTGTACATGTTTAAACCATCAGTTCAAGGTAGATGTAATAGAGACTTCCTGTGGATCCTGTGTCCTGAGAAACAAAAGGCTGAACATGATGAAATGGTAGATTCCAGCAAAATAATGGCTTCCTCATTGAAAGAGCTACAACAATAACAAAGAAAGAGAGAGAGAGAGAGAGAGAGAGAGAGAGAGAGAAGAGAAGAGAAGAGAAGAAAAGAAAAGAAAAGAAAAGAAAAGAAAAGAAAAGAAAAGAAAAGAAAAGAAAAGAAAAAGATCTACAATATAGGCAGAGTTACTACCTGCAAAATACATATGCGGAAAAATCCTCAACAGGAATGTTGTACAAACTTCAAAAAACTGTCTCGAAGTTATTGTCTATTAGATCTGGCCCATTTATTTAGTGAACTATAATAGCCAGATTTATAGGACCTCTCTCACGTACATTCCAAAATCTTATGGAAGTGTCACCTTAGGCAACGCTACAGACTTTCTTCAGGTAACTGGTCTACACTACTGTTTTCCAGATACACAAACATGTATACATGCAGCAAAGGATGCTCTCATCCACCTTATTTAATAGAAAGATTAAAACCTGAAAGGGTGGTTTCTCTAGAATAGATGCACTTTCTGAAGCTAAGGCCCATGTTAATCTTTATCTTCACATTAAAGCACAAACCCAGTGGTTTAGAGCAATTCATAAGATTTAAGATTAACTTGTGTATTGTAAAGTACAAAGAAGGTAGACATAGGCCTCTTGCTTCACCAAAGCCGCCTTATTCTTCATTGTTAGAGGACTATGCAGAGGTTCTTTCACGTACCAAACTTGGAAGTGATAAACTGTCAGTCCTAATTATTGATGACACAGTTAGGAAGAAAAATAAGTGTTCTCCATTTTCAGGGAAATAGTCACAACTTGGGAGTCTCATGTTCTACAGTTTATTTTTAGTTAAAAAAATTGAAAAGATGAATTGACATTCCCATTCTTAAAAACAAGTTATTGTTTTTTATTGTTATTTATTCTAAAATGACAGCTACAATTGTAAGAACAATGGTTTATCTACAGCACTTTATCAGATTTTGTTTAATGTGATGTTCCTTTATAGAGAAATATAGAAAGAAAAGCATGGGTTTTCTTGGCTAATTGTCTCTGAAGTTAAGTTTTTTTTTCTATTTTGCCATCCATAAGTTGGGATTAATATTGATGACAATGCATGAATGTTATAAAAATCTTCATTTATTATCTATTGTTATTTGAAAATAAAGAGTCTGATTATTGTGAAATGGCTTTTAAAGTTTCATATTTAAATTTTACTGAGATGTCAGTCACATTTGTCTAGAGAATATATATTCAAATATTGGTCTAAAACGTGAATTGTGAAGGAGCTTTTTCTCTTCTTTTGACATCACAGAACTCAGCATTCTGAGCTCTTTCCCAAGAAGCTGGCCTATACGAAAAGCCTATTCTTAATTACTTTCTTGGGGAAAATGTTATGCTCAAAATCCCCCCTTCCCTATTTCTTCCCCTCCCACACACACCTTTTCCATTTATTTATTTGTTTTATATGTGGGGGTGCACACATTGTTTCTGTGTGCATGTCTCTGTGTGAGTGTGGGGGTGCACATGTACCTCAGGACGCGAGTGCAGGTCAAAGAACGACTTTTGGGAGTCAGTTCTGCCCTTCTACCAAGTAGGTCCCAGGAACGGAACAGAGAGATCCTCGGGCTTGATGGCAAGCATCATAAGCCACCGAGCTATCTCACCGCCCCTCAAAACGTTCTCTTATTGCTCTTCCAGGTAAAGACCGTTGAGTGGTTTTGAAGTCATCACTACAGATTATAGATTAAATAAAAAAATACATAGATGTATCAAAGTCATAACTTAGATATTTGTCTTTAAAAATTTTAGTTACTATTGCCAATATTGGAATATGAGAGTTCAAAGCTTTTAAATTCTTGACAGTATGATGGAGGGGAAATATCTGCTTTTAAATTTTCTTACAAAACTTGTTCCTACCCTGTGAGCCTTCACTAGTCCCTGGAATCCATCAGGATTAACATTTATAAACTGCAAACACACAAAGAGCCAGGACCTCAGTATTTCTCAATAGATATAAATGCAATTTTCTTGCAGTGATAAAATGAGGAAATTCTATTGGCACTGAGGAGAATGCACAACCTTCACTTCCAATGCACCTTACAAATAAATAAAAAATACTTTCTTTACAAAATGAATTGATCTGGATTTAGAACCTAGAAAATGTATAAGAAAATATACTACAATAAAGACAAGAATACCCACTTGTCACACCAGGTGGCTATGTGTGCCTGCTTCTAAACATTGATCACAACAAAATATTAATGTATTTAATTCCTGCCTTAGAAGGGCGAATATCTTTTTTATTCTAAAGCCACTACTGCTATGTATGCCTGAAGGTTTTGTTTTAAGGGCAATGTTGTATAAAGTAGGCAGAATACTGCCAGAACATCTTTGAACATGAAAACAGAGTGTGAATTTCACTGTTTTGTACTTATTTTCATTCTCATAATATTTGAAGAGAATAAAATTTAAAACACCATGTAAGTGGCTCTTATTTCTCCTACTGTCTTAGTAAGTTGTTTGCAACATGAAAATATTTCATTGTTAATGGCCTGTAGAATGTTTTTTTTAGCATCACTAAAAGTGACTATTCAGGGCCTGATAAAAGAAAATCAATTCATCCTTGTGTCATCCTCAGTCCCAATATATCTTAGACATGACTTTTCCTTTATTTTTATTTTATATTTTTAGTGATAGAATGAAGAATTGGAAATGGTACGATCAATGCGGTAAAAAATATACATCTCACCCGGTGGTGGTGGTACATACCTTTAATCCCAGCACTAAGGAGGTGGATCTCTAGGTTTGAGGCCAGCCTGGTCTACTGAGTGAGTTCCAGGACACACACACACACACACACACACACACACACACACACACACACACCTCTAGTCTTCACACTTTGGAGTATCATTTCAGAGACTCTGCTATGTTATTAAATTTTATAAAAGTCTGTGCATTACTCAACACACAGAACTGCAGGACTGCCTAGTATTTTACAAGAAATGAGAAAAGAAGATTAATTTAATGTGAGTGTGCTGGTGCCAAGGAATTGCCCTGTTAGCGCTTTCCTCTCTTCATTCAGAAGACCAAGATCAAAACCATCATTACAATAGCACAAGCATCCCAATTGTTTTCTGACCCCACCCCATCCGGTGTGAGGGGGGTGCGCACCCATGTGTGTGGTTTTAAGTGTTCAGTAACAACAACACCAATTTTTTTTTTTTTCTAACTTGTAGCCCATTCACATGTAAGTAAAGACTAGAACAGATGTGACTCAGAACTGACAGATTTGGCAATTCAAATTCTAAACAAGGCCTCATGGGTTGGAAGAGTAAAATGTCCCTTAAATTCTCAGCCTCTGGCAATCAATGGCGGGTGTCCGGCAGACAGACCTGCTCCTGGGTGGTTTTCAAGCTCTCTTCTCCTCGGACGGACGGCTGAAGAAAACCCTGGAAGAAGGTTCAGAATCAGAGCGCGTCTACCCAAGGCTCTCACGCACCAGCCCCGCACACCGTACTCTCAGATGATCTAAAATGTCGGGTAGATCTGTTTTAGGGTTAGTAAGCTTAAGAGCGGACACCGGTGTACTAAAAAGAACTGCTGCCTCCAGTGAGTCCCGGCACTGCTTTACTTGCCGGCATTTCCGTGTTGAGTCGTTTAATATGTTATATAAATGATGAGGATGATTATGCTGATGATAGTGGTCTGGCCTGCTTTTGCAAAATTAAGTTTTAATGTTTTCTGTGCTTGAATATAGAAGAGCTTCTCGATGATTGATTAGAACTGCTTGCTGGCTATTTCAGAACATTACTTTTAAAAGCCCTGTGTTGACAAAATAATTTATTACTGAAACTCCAGAGATTACTTTTGAAACACAATCGGTACCATGTGATTCTGAGAGCTGTGTTCAGTGGACATTAGTGAAGTGAAGAGGGGGAATTTAGGCAATTGTCTTAATATTTAAAGTCTGTTCCTGTCCAGGAGCCAGAAAGACTAGTTACCCACAGCCATGGTAAAATATTTGAAATTCTCTGGAGTTTTATTTTCATTCCTATTACAATACCTGAGCAGTAGGGCTTCTATGAAGGGAGAGAAAAAATGATTTAACCATGACTTTGCTAGTGCAGATTGAAATCAATTTATTTTAAATCATTGGAAAGATAACATGAAAAATCTATCCATTTATATAAGCGATTAGACCTGATGGTAATTATTATGATAATAGAGAAAAGGAAACTAAATCAATCATGAGACTTTCCTTCTAAGTAGGATGTCACCTTTTTTTTTTTTTTTCTGGGAATTTATTTCTGGGTAATTATTCCTGAATTCTATCATTCGGCCTGAATAGGCAAAATCCCATTTTCAACAGTAAGTTCAGTTAATGTAGCAGATGGCGCAGGGTCACCAGACCCATCAAGTTATTGTTTTCCTGCATCAATAGTAATAGAGTAATTCCATCAGGGTTCGTGCTGTTCTTGGTTCCAGGTACTCAGCAAATATGAATTCATCATTGCAGCACTCCTACTAAAGTGGAAAAAATTTTAATAAACAAAATATCATAAAATAAAATTGACATTAATTTATTTGAAAGCACCTGTGTAAGACACGCAGAGAAATTAAAACTATTTCATGTTTATATTAATTATATAAAGAAAGGTAGCACTGTTTTATTGTTCACTCTCGGTGGAACAAAAGGATTTATTAGAAGGGTTTCAGTGAGAGAGAAGGAGAGTGGAAAAAGGGCCATGGAGGGTTGCCAAAGTAACCAAAGCTCACTCTGTAGGTGTGTAAAGTTGTCAAACAATAAGTAGACGTACTCAGGAAACTTCCCTGAGGTTCATCCTTTCAAAAGAGTGTCAATATGTCAAATAGGTATTTTCTCAATCCACGTGCCTGCCTTTCTCACGTCCCTCGAATCTATCACCTCAAACCATGGCTTCTCGCCAATTATAAAATTGGAAATGAAAGAATGAATAAAATGTTCTTCCTCATGCCGTGAGCTACGCAGGGAAAACTTGAGGATCGTGGTCCAGACATTTCGTTTCCATAAAGGATGGTGCCATGGAGCTGGAACCACCTTAGGAGACTGCAAGGGTCCCACCTCCCCGGGTCTCTGGACTCCTCACACATCTGTAGGGAAGGCGTTCACAGCAGCAGTCCTCCGCCTCCCTGCCATGGCCCGAGTCTGTCCCCTGGGTCCGGCTCCCGGGCTGCTGGGCGTGGGCGCAGCGCCATCCCGGGTGCATTCCATCCTTACCGGGCATCTTTCCCGGGCTTGGGCCTGTGTGGTGTCTGCCCAGAGAGAAGGGGCCCCAGGAGCCCCGATGGGCACCCGGACCTGAAGAATCTCTGCGGGTTTCTCCACTAGAGAGGGAGACAGTAAACACTCTGCTGACCCCTTCCTCCCCGAGTCCCTCTTACAATAACTTCAAGGATAAAGACTGGAGGAGAGGGCTTCATGTAGAAGGTGGTCAAGCCCATCTGTCTTCTTTGTTCCTTAAAGTAAAACCCTCGTTCACCGCACTCACCACACTTCAGCTCAGAGACCACAGGGTCCCCCCTCCATCTGCAACGCATTGGGAGCTCCGGCACTAGACGCACAAATCCAAACAGAAGTATTAAGGACAGTTGGATGGGTAGCTGCCAAGCCTGGTTAGCTATTTTGGCTCAGCTCTCGCTCAGTAGTAAAAGAAGTAGAAGGCATTTGGCGAGGTCACGGTAAAGTCCTTAATCTGCCACTAGAGGCTGCTCTGAAGTCTTAACCCATGAGAGCTGAAGTAGTGAGACGACTCTTTCCCCTCAGCCAGGAACTGGAAAAGTCTGGAGGTGGTGCTAGTTTGCAATTCATATTGCGATGTTTCGCCCCCACGGATAGCCTTCTGTTTTTTTCTTTTCTTTCTTCCCATTATTTCCCTCCCTCCTTCCATCCCTCCCTGTCTTTCTTCCTCCTTTCTTTGCTTCATACAAGTGTTTGATTTTTGTTTGATCCAAGCAGAAGATGAAGAAATTCTTCCTTTGGCTTCAGTGCATCTGTCTTTCAAAGCAGTGTCGTAAACCCACCTGGGATGCTTGTGGCCTCTATTACTAAATTTTCATTTTGCTGTTAGAAAGTAACTTGCGTAGAAGGCAGAGTTCACGACCGAAATGCACTGTGCCTGCTGCTATTCTTACAAACCACCAC